CCGTAGACCAGAGCTGTTCGTTTGGTTTGGACAAATACTGTGATAGTTTACTAAGAACCCAACTTAGATCAGGTCTAGTACATGTCATTAGGTAGATCAAACTACCTACTGCCTCACGATACCTTTTAGGATCAATAGGATCACTATCACTGTCGTAATCCAATTTCAGCTCACATGGTGTTGATCTGGGTTTACAGTCTAACATATTGAATCTCTCCAGTATTCGCAATATGTATCTTTTCTGGTTTACCCTTACAGTTCCCTTACTTTGATCGAAATCAATTCCCAGAAAATGTTTGAGCTTTCCCAGATCTTTCATTTTGAATTTTGATGTCAGCATTTCTTTTACATCCTTCAGTAAACTGTTGTCACTAGCAGCTATGATGAGATCATCTACCCAGATTATTATGATCACCCTGTCTTTACCACTTCGCTTACTGTACACACAGTAATCAGCCAGATTCTGTATGAAATCATTTTCAGTGAGATACACATGTAACATTTTGTTCCAATTTCGTCCTGATTGTTTTAAACCATACAGTGATTTGTTCAATTTACAGACTAGTTTATCACCTCTGTTTGATTTGACTTCAAATCCTTTCGGCTGCTCCATGTAAATCTCACAATCTATTGGAGCGTGTAAGTAAGCCGTTTTCACATCCATTTGGTGAAGTTCAAGATCATATTGTGCTGCCATTTGCATTAAGGCTCGAATTGATGTGATATTTGCTGTTGGTGAGAAAGTCTCTATGTAATCTACACCCATCACTTGACTATAGCCCTTAGCAACATATCTGGCCTTGTATGTCTCTGTCTCATCTATATTACTCTTAATAGAGTAGACCCATCTACCCCCCACTGCATGTTTACCTTCTGGTAGTGTAGTTAGGGTAAATGTATTGTTTTCTTGTAGTGAGCTAATTTCATCTTCCATGGCCTTAACCCACATCTTAGACTCATTGGAATTCATAGCTTCCTCAAAAGTCTGTGGTAAATCGCACATTCTGTAACAGTAATCAACATTAGTAAGAATCTGATCATCACTCTCCACATCAGATACATAATCTGTCAAATACTGTGGGGCTCTCCTATTTCTCTTAGGATAACGTGCGCATTGTTCACCACTCTCAGTTTGAGCACTACTCTGACTCTCTGTCTCAGTTGTCTTTTCTGGCGTCTCATTAGTAATGTTATGTGTTGACTGGGGAGATACATATCTCTCTCTATGAGAATCATCATCTGACATTGTGATTTCTGTCTGTGTCTGATGATCAGCCACACATCTTGTTATGAATTTCACAAGTCTGTGCTTCAGAACTTTTCCTGTGTCTGGATAATAAATCAAATATGCAGGGCTGTTTTTATCATATCCTACAAAAATCCCTTTTTCACATCTAGCATCCAGCTTCTTTTTGTCGTGTTTGTATGCGTAGCATACTGAACCAAATATTCTCATTTTAGAGAGATCAGGCTCCTTCCCAGTCAATGCATAGTATGGGGTTTGGTGTATACGGCTATTGTAGCACCTGTTGCGAATTACTGCAGCAGTCATTACCGCGTAGGTCCACAACATCTTGGGCAGGCCGCTCTCTAAGATCATGCATCTTGCCATCTCAAAAAGTGTTCGCCAATTTCTCTCGGCAGTCCCATTTTGATGGGGCGAATATGGCGCTGAAGTCTCATGGCGTATACCATTCTTACTTAAAAGAGACTGAAACTCTTTTGCTGTGAACTCTGTTCCATTATCTGACCTAACACACTTTATGCGCCCATAAGGTGCTGTGTCAGCAATGAACTTTTCAGTTGCTCTTGCAGTGTCACTTTTAGCTTTTAAAAAGTAAACAAATACTGCACCAGAGTAATCATCAGTGAATGCTAAAGCATACTTGAAGCCGTCTTTAGCTTCTGGGTCAATTGGACCAGCTAGATCTGTGTGCACTAGTTCGAGTGCAGCTTTAGCTCTTGTATCAGGCTCCCTGTTTCGGCTCTGTACAAATTTACCCTGTGTACAAATCTCACAATTTAAATTAGATTTATCAATCTTCCCTGTTATTTTCATCCCCTTCACTACATTTTGCAATTTGGAAATGTCTTCATAATTGCAGTGCCCAAGAATTTCGTGCCAGGTTTGGATATCATAACATGAGTTACAACTATCAGTATCACCATCTCCATTAGCAGTGTTCAGATAATACAGTCTATTGTACTCATGTATGCTAAATTTTGTACCGTCCTTATGAGTCAGTTTGTCTTGTCCTTGTTGAAAGCTGATCGAAGCTCCGTTTGTTGTTGCTGCTTTAACAGAAAAAATGTTTTGTGGATACGATGGTATATACAAGGCGTTCTTTAGTATCGTTTTCACTTTATGTCCCGCGCTGTCAATCAAGTGCACCTCTGCGTCACCTCTTCTCTGCGCAACTCCACTCGCCTTTGTTCCGTCCGCCAACTCAATGTAGTGTTTCTCCGGTTGGAATTTGTCATCAAACTGTTTGAATTTCTTAAGATCAGTAATGATATGCGAGGTCGCGCCAGTGTCGACCATCAGCCCTTTTCGCTGTATTTCGTATGATCTGTAGTCACTGGCTTTGAAGATAAATGTGTGTTCCTCATCATCGTTCTTGTCGCTAGCCAGTTTAATATCATCTCTCCTTTTTCGTCTACAGTTCTCGTCTTTGTGTGTTGAACTTTTGCAGTAATTACACCACTGTCGTTTGCAGTTTAAGGCTGGGCATGTACGCATTTTGTGCCCTTTCTGTTGGCAGTTGTAACACGTAATGTCCGAGTATGCGAGCCCTTCTCTCCCCTTGCGTCCCGAGGGGGAGGCATTTGCTTTCATCACGTTATCTTCACTGGCGACACTGTGGAAGTTTTCAGTACTCTCAAAATTTCTCAGCTTCGTTTTAAACTCAGCAAACGTTATTTCTGTATCACTCTGTGTGATATGTATTGCAAACGGTTTAAATGAGTCCGGCAAACCTTTCAAAATCATCGCAATTAGAAGTCCATCACTAAGGGTTTCTTCTGCATTTCTTAGTGCTGTGATTGCGGTTTCAGCTCTTATAATATAGTCTGTGACACTCTCACTTGGTTTCTTTTGTAAAGAAGTTAACTCGGTATACAGAGAAATGATTCGCGGCTTCCCTTTGCCAGCATAGTAGGCCCGTAAAATCCGCAGAGCTTTCCTACCGTCATCCGCGGCATCTCTCATGACAAGTGACAAACTTTTGTCATCCAGGTACTGGATTAATTCTGCATACGCTTCTTCATTTTTATCAGGTCCTTCATCATCATCAGCATGTGCGGAGGCCTCTGATAGCACCGTCTCCTTCAATCCTAGCAACCGCATGTGTCCTAAAAACTTTGTTTCCCAAAGTTCATAGTTTTTCTCATCTCCGTCGAAACACAATCTATTCCATCGGTTACTCACATCTCTTCTGGGCCCATAACCTGTTGGCGCAGCCATTTTCGTGTATGGTAACCGGTATATAATCTTAATTACACGGAGGTAAAATAACTCACGTCTCTCCTCGGTTTTCTGCTGAACCGGAATACATTTATTTGCATATGTCCAAATATGGGAAGCAGGTAACACATGACATGACAGTCTGAGGGCACATCCAATAGTAACGCTAACAGTATTATTATTATAATATTTCCTTTCCTGTTTCTCTTACATTTATATTCTTTAGCTGTCAATATAATACTTCGCGTCTATGGAAGAAAGAGTCAATAAAGATAGACAATGTGTAACATCATATTCATCAAAAGACGGTTTATGTGCAAGTAACTGCACCGGTCCGAGCAGGGAGCGAGCCGGCATGGGAGACAAGCTCCGATAAGATTGCAGAACAACGTCTGTCACTGGATCCGAGGAGTGAGCTTTACGCGATCACCAGCTGGCTTCCGTTACATAAGGGCAAATATGGATGACTAAAACCTCATTTACTCATTTTACTCATACTTTTTATCATTTATATTGTCCAAAACATTGATATTAATATTAAATGCTACTTTTGTGCCTTTAATAGCCTTTTTCTCGCATGTTTACTGGGTTAAAAATCTTACATTCCATCTCCACCTGCTGGTGAAAGCGAGAGCAGCTGGCGATCTTCAATCTGCAATCTATTGCTTTTCCTGCAGTTCCCGGATGTAATGTTGAATTTTAACAGTCGAATTTGATCCACTGAATTCATGGAAGCGAATATTTGAACTGAAATAAAATGAACTGAAAATTACCTTTTGAATATTATACATCGTATTTTTAAAGGGTATTGAATATTTTGTAAGTGAAATCTGAAAATTGAATATGAATTATTGAATTTTTAAGTATGAAAACGTGTTTGAAATATTTTTCGTTGAAATATTCAAAGCTTAAATATACAGATGTGTTAAATTTCAGGACCTAAAAATACAAACCCTGGAATTCAAGTCATTAAAATGCAAGAACTTGTTAATACGGTGTATTATTTTTTTCAGTTTGTGATATTCAACAAGCTTTTTAATTCAAGACTTTAGGCATTGATTTTGTTCCATAGATGAATATAATTTTTCTGAGTTAGGTTCAATCTAACTTTGTGACTATTGCGTACATTTTCGTTTCTAGCAAAACCGTTGAACTCCTTGTCTAAATTTGACTCCTTGAGTATGAATTTGTTAACAGACTGACTGGAATTAACCTAACTTGGCAAATCAAAGGTTACATCGATTCAAACATACCTGACAGAGGATGAGTTTTCTTCCTTTCTCTTCCTGTTAACATACACTGCGTTAAACACACCTGCAGCTGTTTGTTACCTAATCTCTGGCAGCATAGAAGATAACCAAATGAACTGGTCTGTAGTGGTTCTTTGGGTAGAGTGTAACTCAGCAAATCGGGGTTGAGCTAATTTTTTTTAGTCTGGAACAAAGTCAGATCTTTGTTGAGCTTAAGGTTCCAATCTGATTTCAGACTCTGTCCGGGTCACGGCACCAAGAATGTAGGACACTCACTGGGGTATCTTAAAATGCGTTTTTATTGAGAACTTGACATGTTTTAACCAGTGACATGTTTAAATTACAGTAATGACAGGATGATGTAAAACATTGTGGCAATTTATAAAAACTCAAGCCTAATATTAAGCTCATTTATAGGGTGTTCAACACCCCACACCCAACCATGAGGTTACAAGAACTAGGCTTATGTCAGCATCCCAGAGATAAATCACGAGAGCTAAGACTACATCAACATCTCAAGAACAGCATGTATCCAATAAAAAAGAGAAAACAACCCAAGCAAAGAAAAGCTAACTTACAACACTTTTAACACAATAAAATCGGCAAAGACACAAAAGGCGCTCCCATGGAAACTCACAAATCCCTCCACAAGTCACACAATGTCATTTGGACAATTTCTTTGCAGTGTGGACTTGCATGTGTATTTTCAGCTGTGACGATTGTGCAAAACTTTTCAGACACTGTTCACAAGTAAAAGAATTCTCTCCAGTGTGAATCCTTTCATGTATTTTCAGGTTTCCTAACTGACTGAATCTCTTGTCACAGTGTGAACACTTGTAGGGTTTCTCTCCAGTGTGAATCCTGACATGTGTTTTCAGGTTTCCTAACTGACTGAAACTCTTGTTGCAGTGTGAACAGATGTAAGGTTTCTCTCCAGTGTGAATCCTCTCGTGTGTTTTCAGGCTTCCTAACTGACTGAATGTCTTGTAGCAGAGTGAACACTTGTATGGTTTCTCTCCAGTGTGAATCCTTTCATGTATTTTCAGGCCTCCCAAATCAATGAATCTTTTGTCGCAGTGTGAACATTTGTACGGTTTCTCTCCAGTGTGAATCCTCTCATGTTGTTTTAATTCTCCAGCAGTAAAATAAGTCTTCTCACACTTAAAGCACATGTACTCGCTCACACCAGTGTGGATCTTCTGATGATTTCTTAAACTACCTTGATGTCTGAAACTCTTTCCACACACAGAGCATGAATAAGGCTTCTCCTTTGTATGAACTCTAAGGTGGCTCTTTAGCCCAAAAGCCCTCAAAAATGTTTTGCCACACTGATCACATTTGTGTGTTTTCTCTCCAGTGTGGATCAGCATGTGTTTATTAAGGTTTGATGATGCTCTGAAACTCTTCCCACACTGAATGCATGTGAATGGTTTCTCTCCAGTGTGGATCCTCATGTGACCCTGGAGACTCTGTTTATTTGTTAGACTCTTTCCACACTGAGTGCAGGTGACACGTTCTTTGTCCTTTCTCTTAAACGAGTGAGTTTTCCCTCTCGTTTTGTCTTGGTGTGTCTCCTCCATCAGGCCTAAAATGAAAATGAAAAGGACATTTTTGTTTCTGTTTGCATTTTAAATTATATTATAAAAAAGGTGAAAATAGATAACACTACATTAGGGATGTAATGGTATTGTAAATACCGTCATACCGCAATATTAATTTTTTTCGATATTACCGTAGTCGCATGACTCGGTAAAACTATAGGTCTTCTGAGAAAATTTGCTCAGGCGAATGAAGCGAACGGGAGGTACCGGAAACTACAATTCCCATCAGCCCATGCTTGACCATCATCCCTTGCGGTCTGTTGTCGCTACAGATCCAGTAATGCGGAAATGGAGTGTGCTGCTAGAAGCGGGGATCAAAAAGAGCTGGAAATGATCGAACCTGAAGCGGGTGTTGTCGCCGCACGCGTACTGAATAGCGGTGTTGTCGCGCGAGTTCTTATCAGCTGTGTTGTCGCACAGGTTGAGCCCTGTGTGTGCACGTGCCTGCAAGTTGGGGAACACGACTAATAACAGTCATGGGGACTGCAGAAACACAGCACACTGTTCAGATTGATGCAGACATAAGACCTCTATCTCACACATGGTTTGTCCTCTCAAGTGGGGGAAAGACAATGCACAATGTTACCCACTGCTGTCAACCTGGGCCAAGTCATATCTCTCTTGTCCCAGAAACCTCAGTCCCTAATGAGAGGGTTTTTTTTCTGTTGCAGGGGACATTGTAAATACCCAGAGATACCAGCTTTTACCAGATTATAGTTATAAGATAATTTTCCTTTAAACCCATCTCTGTCTAAGTGAGTGAGTGATTAAATGTTGAATGTGATGAGTTTTCAACAATACTAAATTAAAACTTAATTTTTTTACATGGTTTAATATTTTTTTGTTATTAAAATTGAAGTTCCTGTTTCAAAGCTTACAGATAGATGGCTAATTTGTATGTCATTGACACTTTTGGCACTTTTTTGGAGTATTTTCATAAGTTTTGTTTTTTTCCAGTAAATGATTCAATAAATACCGTACCGTGACATTCATACCGAGGTATTACCGTACCGTGAAATTCTGATACTGTTACATCCCTACACTACATGAATTACACCTATCTGCTTCTTTCAGAAAATGCTACCAAAATGGATCCCGGACAGATATACATTTACCTGACGCTTTTGTCCAAAGCGACTTACAATTGAGGAAGCATTCAGGGATTCATCAGGAAGAGGCAATACACACAAGAAGTGTTAATTATACAAAGAAACAGTTAACGCTCAGAGAATTACGTGTTTTTTAAAAAATATTTTCAGATGTTGAGTGATTGTAAAAAAGTGTCTGGTACAACTGTGCAAAACTGGTGCGAGTGTCAGTTAAAATGACAAAGAGATAGACGAGTGTGTTTTCTGCAGGTGGTTTGTCAAGCCCACTCACCTGTGTGAGGCACGTTCCGAATCACTTTGATTCACTTGATGAAGACAAAAATATATTGAGGGACTGGAGAATTCAATGCTGCGGATGGTTCGTAGGTTCTTACATCCCCGGTTCCAGGATTCAATAGAGGAAACCTTATAATAAGGCAAGGCAAGGCAAGTTTATTTATATAGCACATTTCATACACAATGGCAATTCAAAGTGCTTTACATAAACAAGAATAAAAGAAACAAGTAAAATAAAAATGAAAACAAATAATAAAAATGCGTAAAAACAAAACATAAAAACAGGTAAAATGTGATATAAAAGAATAGAGAAGAAGAGAAAAACATAATAGCGCAATCTGAAATTTAATATTGGATTAATATTGGAGCACATCTGATCATTTCTGAAAGCTGATTCCAGCAGCGGGGGGCGTAGTGGCTGAAAGCTGATTCACCCTGCTTTGACTGAACTCTTGGAACTTCTAGTTTTTATGATCCTAAAGATCTGAGTGATCTGTTAGGTTTGTATTGAGTGAGCATATCTGTAATGTATTTAGGTCCTAGGCCATTTAGTGATTTATAGACCAGTAATAATACTTTGAAATCTATTCTGAATGTAACTGGCAGCCAGTGTAGAGACCTGAGGACAGGTGTGATGTGCTCTGATTTCCTGCTTCTGGTTAGAATTTTGGCTGCAGCATTCTGGATGAGCTGCAACTGTCTGACTGTCTTTTTAGGAAGACCAGTGAGGAGTCCATTACAGTAATCCACCCTGCTGCTGATAAAAGCATGAACAAGTTTCTCTAAATCTTCACTAGAAACAAAGCATCTGATTCTTGCTATGTTTTTGAGATGATAGTATGCTGATTTACTGACTGCTTTGACATGACTGTTGAAACTCAGATCTGACTCCAGAGTCACAGGACAATGTTGAATAGGACAATGTTGAACTTAGTATCATGCCTGTGTCATTACAAGGAAAGTTATTCTTAGCCCCCAAATTCAACAAGAACAACTGACTATATTCTGCAATCTGGAAGTGCACTTGTTTTTGGGAATGTTTTAGAACTTCCAATTTAGTTGCCTACGGGAGAAATGACTAGGAGTAATAAAAAGATTATCAAACTTCTTCCCCTACAACAGGCATGTCCAAACTCCATCCTGGCGGGCCGGTGTCCTGCAAAGTTTAGTTCCAACCCCAATCAGACACACTTGGGCTAGCTAATCAAGCTCTTACTAGGCTTTCTAGAAACGAACTTGCTTCAACATACCTACAAGGATGTGTTAAAATCTGCAGGACACCGGCCCTCCTGGACCGAGTTTGGACACCCCTGCCCTACAAACAAGTGTATTCATGACTGTACATAAAAAGTAGAATGCTACAATAAGAACATATCAGTTTGCAACATGAAGCAGCATAGCGAGCTGTTTTAGTGGAGCTGTTTTAATAAACGGAAGTAAATGAGATCATAAGGGTTGAGCCAAAGACTTCCAAATGGCTACGCCTACTTGTACATGATGAATAAGGTAAATTCATTCATTTTCTTTTTGGTTTATTCTCTTTATTAATCTGGGGTCACCACAGCAGAATGAACCGCCAACTTATCCAGCATATGTTTTACACAGCGTATGCCCATTACTGGGAAACACCCATTGCAATTACACCAACACATACACTACGGCCAATTTAGTTTATTCAATTCACATATAGCCAGGCCCAGATTAAGAATTCAGAGGCCCCTGGGCACAATGTCTTGTAGGCCCCCTACTAGCCACACCCCTGATTGAATTAAAAAATTAGATTCATATATTTTTTAAATAAAATTAATTTATAATGTATTGCCTGCATTTTTTAAATAAATGACATAGTACAGATATTTCCAGTCTACAGAGATTAAACTTATTATTTTTTTAGTGCTGTCAATTGATTAAAAAAGATTAACTAATTAATCGCGCTTTAAAAAAAAATTAATTAATAGTTAATTTATAAATATGATCCCTGCAACTTCTCCTAATCTTTCAGAATAGCATGCATGTCCAACTTCAGTTGAAACAATTTGTCGGAAAAACTAAATCCTGTGCTCCATTTTTTATTAATACCTAAATATGAGACTTGTTATATCTGCACTATGGCTAATATAAATGGTAGTCTTTAATAAACTCCCTTTATCAGTTAATAAACATTATTTTAACATTACATTATTAGGCCTATGCACGTTTAAACTGTTAGTTTTATATTACAGTTTTATTAATAATTAAAATTTAGATTAATTTAGATTTAAATTTTTCTGCAAATTATGTTGTGTACTCAGAATTTTTTGGTCACATCCGTAACGCATGTTTTTTTCCCTTATTTAATGCGCAAAGCATGTTTCCTGATTAATATTTTTCTGATCCCATAATTCTGTGGTCAGTTGTTTTGGATATATACTTTCAATGTGACTTTATGTTTCGAGTTTTAAATGTAAATATCACATCCATAATGCTGGATTTGCTCATATATATATATATATATATATATATATATATATATATATATATATATACACACACACACACACACACACACACACACACACATATATATATACATATATATATATACACACATATAAATACAGTTGAAGTCACAATTTTTAGCCCCCCTTTAAATTTTTTTTTTCTCTTTTTTAAATATTTCCCAAATGATGTTTAACAGAGCAAGGAAACTTTCATGGTATGTCTGATAATATTTTTTTCTTCTGGATATAGTCTTATTTCTTTCATGTCAGCTAGAATAAAAGCAGTTTTAAATTTTTAAACACAATTTTAAGGACAAAATTATTAGCCCCTTAAAGCTATATTCTTTTGATAGTCTACAGAACAAACCATCATTATACAATGACTTGCCTAATTACCCTAATTAACCTAGTTAAGCCTTTAAATGTTCCTTTAAGCTGTATAGAAGTGTCTTGAAAAATATCTAGTAAAATATTATTTACTGTCATCATGGCAAAGATAAAATAAATCAATCATTATAAATGAGTTATTAAAACTATTATGTTTAGAAATGTATTCTTCAACTGTGTGTGTATATATATATATATATATATATATATATATATATATATATATATATATATATATATATATATATATATATATATAGTATTTACCTGTCCCCACCAATGTCAAGTGCAAACCTACTACACCCTTGTTGGTTTTATATTCACACATTCATTTAGTGACAACTCATGACATGCTCCCTATATTATTTACCATATTCTCTTTGAATATTTGGTCTGAAATCACATGCAACTGTGACTTCAACACAACATTAGCTCTATTTATATGACTGTAAACAACGTTTAAATTTGCAAGGAATAATTTCCTGATATTGTATTATTAAGGAGAAAGTGTGAATATGCGAAAATAAATCCAACTTTACCTCAATAATCACTAAATTGTGTAAAATTGAACACAGAAAATGCAGAAATGAAACACGTCGGCTAATAATGATCAGACTAATGCAAATGTGAAGCTTAAATATAGAAATGTAAAAGTAAACAGGAATCATAACCTGTGGTTTTACCATGACAAGTTAACAGAACTTAATAGAGGTAACCTACAAACCTAAACTAATTTACATTTCTGTAAAGAAACCTTCACAAGCTAACCAAAAACAAACCGAGTGTAAACAAACACGGCTGAATATTGAGACAGTTAAATGAACTAATAGACATGTGGGAATAACACCTGTTCATGAATAACGTTAGCAGCTGAAATACCTGGAAATTCCGTCTTCCTGATCGTTTTACAGGGTAATTTACAGACCCAGGATAAGTCTGTAGTGTTCGTTAAAAACACACTGTAGTTTAACTATTAAAAACTGAACTTTAGCCTATTATTTCTTTAGCATTCTCTTTTAATTTCGCGAGTTTTTCCTCTTCTTGAGATGCTTTTTGGCGCCTGTCTAAGCAGCTGAATAGTGCACTACCGCCACCTGTTGGACTGCATTCGCACATGCGCTGAGATCTGCTCGGTCAGTCTGTGCATTAAAGCTAATAATATTGTAAAATAATCTTTAATTTCTTATACAGACCGAGCGTTTCGCTTCACAAAAGCTCAGTGTGTCATCAGGAGCCATGACTATTGATTTGGACTCGTTTGTATGCGTTTATTACTATTTTCTGGCGTTATATGAACGATATTAATGACCACTGAAGAAAAAAAGTCGCCTACATCTTGGATGACCTGTGGGTGAGTAAATTCACTGGAGATTCATTTTCTTCTCTTTAATAGGTGTGAACAGGGACAAATAAGATTTCTGCCACCTCATTATACTGATAATTTAGAGAAATAGTTTTTTTTTTATAACATTGAAATTTTCCACACCACAACCCTCACAGATCTCATTCATTCATTTTCTTGTCGGCTTAGTCCCTTTGTTAATCCGGGGTCACCACAGCTGAATGAACCGCCAACTTATCCAGCAAGTTTTTAGGCAGCAGATGCCCTTCCAGCCGCAACCCATCTCTGGAAAACATCCACACACACACACACACACACACACACACACACACTCATACACTATGGACAATTTACCCTACCCAATTCACCTGTACCGCATGTCTTTGGACTGTGGGGGAAACCGGAGCACCCGGAGGAAACCCACGCGAAGGCTGGGAAAACATGCAAACTCCACACAGAAACGCCAACTGAGCCAAGGTTCAAACCAGCAACCTTCTTGCTGTGAGGCGACAGCATTACCTACTGCACCACTCCCTCGCCACAATCTCTTTAAACACATTTTAATTTTTTTCACGCCGCTGCCTGCCGTTTCTGGCTCTCTTGCTTTTTTCAACCCACAGTGTTACTCAGTGTGGATGTCACATCAAAGATTCAAATGTTACCACTCAGTGGGTTAGGTCACGTGACTCATGTTACATTATTGTGGCTTTGAGGCTCTACAGGATTCGAATTACAGGCCAGAGTTAGTTAAAAATACACTTTATTACAATATATATTAAACATAAATACATTACATTAATTATTATATAACATTAAACTACATAAAATAATTAAAAGGACAACTTCTGGAAGGTTTGGCTCTGGGGGGTGGTTACGGGCATGTGTTCATAAGATAAAAACTAAGCTAAAACTATTAAAACCATCAATGAAATGAACTAAAACTAAACTGAAATATACAGCAAATGTAAAAATAGGATCAAAATAAAAAGGATAAATGTAAAACTACTCTTCATCTTTATTTCTTAAGCACTCTTACATTGTAGATTGTGTCAAGACAGCTTAACACAGATATAGCATAGCATAATTAGCATAGAGGTAAACTGAAAGTATTGATGTTCAATTTAGCTCAGTTCTGGGTAAATTTTACCTAAGTGAAGGGAAATAAACAGGCAACAAATAGAGAATTGAGAAACAAATGGAGGCTAGTATCCGCAGTGATGGTGTGATGTGCTGAAGTGTGTGTTGTTGCGTCTGATTCACAGATGCTGTAACAGGTGGTGTTAAATGTGCCGCAGTGACCGCAGTGTTCAGACGCTCCTGATAATCTCTTCAGGACTCGTCTACACCTGAGGAAACACATGGACAGTCGTGACCCCTTAATACGACACCGACACCACTGCTGGTAAACTTTTTATTTCTATAGTGCTTCTACAATGTAGTTAAAGTTCAATTTAGTTCAGTTCAGTGTGGTTTATTTCACTGCTAACACATATAAAGGTATATTCAAATCACATCTCAAGGGCTGTTTCCCAATATGCATTCTTGCGTCCTCGTGTTCTCGTGTAACGTCATTAACAGCTGCCAAAATTCAGTTCCAACACTCAAACCCTTAAGAACAGAGGACGCGTGAACCTTCCCGGATGTGTTCTTGATATCGAGGACGCATGGATGCAGACTTGAGCACCGAAATCTCTCTAGAAGTCCCCGAAGTCATTGCGACTTGTGATGGGAAGCGCAGCATTTCATATAGGGTTATTATTAAAGCTCAGAGATAACACTTACTTATCTCAGGAGTTCCCCTAAATGAGACGGTGAATATAAACATTACCATGGACATCTTAATAAAGGAACAAACACATTAAGGGTGTTTATTTGCTGAAATTCCTGTTAAAATCTGATTTGTTTGTATTGTGCAACGTATATTTGCAAAGTCTTCATGCAAAGTATATATTTTGAAAAGGGGAAAACCAATAGTTCATTGTATGAATGCGGTAATGTGTAAATAATAGGGATGTAACCAGGGGGGGACTGGGACTAAAAATCAGCCCTGGCACTGCAGCCACACCAGCCCACATTACCACACAGACACAGCCCCACCCAAGGACACGCACATTCACTACTTAAATTTGTGTACAGATGGTAAAATTATATAAGCAGTACCTATTCAAGAGATATTTAAACATTTAACGTATGTGACTGAAACAAAAACAACCCATTTATATACGCAATCATGTCATTCATTTTCTTTTCGGCTTAGTCCCTTTATTAATCTGGGAATCGACAACTTATTCTGCATATGTTTTATACAGTGGATGCCCTTAAAGCTGCTACCCATTACTGGGCTACCCAATTCCCAATTGGCCTACCCAATTCACCTATAGCATGTGTTTGGACTTGTGAAGGAAACCAAAAGGAAATCCACACGAACATTCAAACTCCACACAGAAACACCAACTGACCCAGATGAGGCTCAAACCAGCGACTTTCTTGCTGTGAGGCGACAGCACTACCTACTGCGCCACTGCACTGCCCCCTTTCGAGACTAGTTCAGTTAATTTTATGTAATTGGCAATGTCTGACTTGACTGCCTTTCCCTTTTTATGGTCCATCTATGACTATTAGCTTGCGTTGCACTCACTGTTTGTTTGACATTCTTGCCAAATTTTGATTATGTCTGCGTAACCTCAGATTGGGTCGGCCCATCTCGAAACCAGCCGGTTGTTGCTGATTGGGCCAATGCTTAACATTTACTATTATTCTTACTATTATCACTATCATCATTATAATATTCACATCTCGCACGAGATAAAAGCTGCCTACATTGAAAAAAATAATACATATGAAAAAAAAATAATAATAAAAATAGCTGACTGGCCCACATTTAAAAAATGGTCCGGCCCTTCTGGCATTTGCCAGAATTGCCAGATGGCCAGTCCGCCCCTGGATGTAACGGTATCAGAATTTCATGGTATGATAATACCTCGGTATGAAAGGCACGGTACGGTATTTATTGAATCATTTACAGGAAAAACAAAACTAATGAAAAGACTCGAAAAAAGTGCCAAAAGTGTTTATTTACCTTAGCACTGAACATATCAATGACATACAAATGAACCATCTATCTGTAAGTTTCGAAACAGGAACTTCAATTTTTCAATTTTAATACCAAAAAACTATTAAACCATGTAAAAAAAATAAAGGAAATAAAGGAGGTGGGCATGTGTTGTTGGTTGAGTAGTGAGCGATGTATCTGTGAAGGGGGGCACACACGCTGCTTCAGTGCGAAGTCTTGTTCTGCCCCAGCTAACACTACTGAGCGTTCTCTTCCTTGCCTGCTTTCCCATTGTGATCCTGCTTCATTACTGACCCAGTCTAGCCTGCCGCCTGCCTTGTACTTCAGCCTGAATCCCGACTTTGATCCTAGCCGCCTGCCTTTAAACTCAAGCCTGCTTACCGACTCTAATACTAGCCGCCTGCCTCTGACCCATGCCTGCATACTCATCCTGTGTTTACCAGCCGCCAGCCCAACAACTATGTTTGATGTGAGTTTGCGCACGCACAACATCTGTGTGCTATTGTTTATTAAACTGTGTTTAATAAAAATACTGCAAATGGATCCCTCTGTGTCAGCCACTTCGTTACAGAATTATTAGCCCTCCTTTGAATTTCTATTTATCTATTAAATATTTTCCAAATGATGTTTAACAGATACAGGAAATTTTCACAGTATGTCTGATAATATTTTTTCTTCTGGAGAAAGTATTATTTGTTTTATTTCGGCTAGAATAAAAGCAGATTTTATTTTTTTTAAAAAGCATTTTAAGAAGAAAATATTAGCCCCTTTAAGCTATATATATATATATATATATATATATATATATATATATATATATATATATATATATATATATATATATATATATATATATTTTTTTTTTTTTTTTTTTAATTATTAGTCTACAAAACAAACCATCATTGTACAATAACTTGTCTAATTACCCTAACCTGCCCAGGTGACCTAAATAATCTAGTTAAGCCTTTGAATGTGATTTACAGCTGTATAGAAGTGTCTTGAAACGCATCTAGCGAAATATTATTTACTGTCATCATGGCAAAGATAAAATAAATCAGTTATTAGAGATGAGTTATTAAAACTGTTATGTTTATAAATGTGTTGAAGAAATCTTCTCTCCGTTAAACAGGAATCGGGGAAAAAATAAACAGGGGGGTGAATAATTCTGACTTCAACTTGATCTCTAAAATAAATCAATAATACATGTCATTCACAAGAGGGCGAATCATTTTGACTTCAACTATACATTCCTGTATTTCCAACAACAATTGTTTCACCTAGCTAAACACATTTCCGCTTTCCGTGACCTCACGCGCGTAATAAACACCCATATTAAAATGCGTGTCATTTTCACACTCCTGATGTCAGAGCGCTTCACCTACGTGCCTCTTCTGCCAGTCCCTAATGAGCTTAAAGCATTAAGATCCTCACGTCTGCCCGGTATCTATTTCTCATCCCATTGACGCAATCTGGTGTTTCCCAATCGGGATCTGACGTGTCCTGGACTCATTCTGGGCCTTTATAAAGAGGTCCGCTCCAGCATGCATGTGTCAGTCTCATCAATCAGCTGCTTTTGAGCACTTCAGATCTCTGTCTGGATGAATATGGAGCCCGTCGGTCACTCTGTGAGCATCCCGGAGCCGGCGTATCCTCGGCCGCCACTGCGTGTGGCCCATAGAGGAGCCTCATCGCATTT